CGTGCTGAAGGTTATGTAACAAAAACTGAATGTCTGGACTGAGGGTATATTCGCAAGAGTGTTATATTAACAAAATCTAAATGAATGTGGCGGCCATCACGTCTAGAGCTTAGTACAAAAAAAAAACAAAAAAAACAGGTTCGTAGTGCTTTGCTCCCCTGTTTTCAGCCGAGCTCCAACTCAGGCCTGTACTTCAGCAGCTCGACATGTACCAACTGAACTAAGCCTATTGATACCCTTGCCAACCCCAGAACCAGCACCTGGGCTGTGTCCCAACCTGGGACAAAAGGGTATATATGTAAAGAACAAATAGAAAAATAATAAAATAGACAATAAAATAAAACAGCCAAACGGGGAACGGTTTTATGTGACCAGCGGTACATAGCCTCTGCGCTGGTGCCTGCTGGTCCTCACCCTGCCAGTTACAGTTCACTGTCTCACGGTTCCCTGCAGGTAGGCTCACATTCATACCTCTCATTGCTCGCCGCAGGCTGAGCTTAGCGGGCGGTGCATCCTCTGGCCACAACTGCCCAGGCCTGTTCCACCACGTCGCGGATCCTAAAGGTAAAAGCAGATRTTCACATGGGAACTGCCAAAGGCCGACGTGGGGAGTGGTCCTATGTGACCGGCCGCTGCGGCCTGCGGCCCCCCTCCGCCCCGGCATAGTTCACCGTCTTTCTGGTCCCCACGCCACGCTCGTACTGCRACCMCGAACCTGCAAAATATGCGGATTTTGAGGTCGGCTAAATTGAGGTCTTTCACATGGTTTGGATCATACGCTGCACCTTTTCCAGTGGGACGCTGCCCTGGCCGTCTGCAGCAAAACAAAACAACCTGGTCCTTTGCTGCCCACACNGCATAGTTCACCGTCTTTCTGGTCCCCACGCCACGCTCGTACTGCGACCACGAACCTGCAAAATATGCGGATTTTGAGGTCGGCTAAATTGAGGTCTTTCACATGGTTTGGATCATACGCTGCACCTTTTCCAGTGGGACGCTGCCCTGGCCGTCTGCAGCAAAACAAAACAACCTGGTCCTTTGCTGCCCACACAGCACCTCCCTCACAAGGTTCTAAAGTATATATATATTTATTTATTTTATTGATGTCCCGAAGGTCCATAGAAAAAACCACAATGAGGCTGCATAAAACCAGCTCCACGGTGGGATCGGTATTTCAGCAGTTCAATGGAGTACCCACCGAGCTGGGCTCTTGAGCTCCAGCCGGCCCCATAGACTAGTGCCGCCCCCCGTCCTGAATGGGAAACATAAAAAAAATAAAATATTAGTAAAATTCTATAAATAGAAGTAAAAACACGGATAGGGGAGGAGAACCGTTAGTACTTAGTCTTCAGTCCTACCTCCCGGACCCGCGGCCGGGTCCCCTCAGCAAAACTAAGTGGGATAGTCCCGTGGGACTCTCAACCCCTTAGTTCACTCCCAAGTACGCTCCTCCGCTGCCCCAATGCTGGTTGTTGGCCTCGATCCCGGGATCCGCCTGGTGAAAACTCAATGATGTAACCTAAAGGGCTAAGCCCAAGCCTGAATTGGGTGCGGGTTACCCTGTATATGAATTGCATGGTCAACCAGCCTGGGCCTGCAGGTGGTGCCCCAGGCCGTTTCTTGGCCTGTCCTTCAACCCCGTGACCCTGCACACGTGTCGTGCTGGCCTATCCCCTCCACCCTGGCCTTGTGGGGTCTTGCTCTGATATCTCGAAGGTAGGTGTCGCCCAACTCACAGCGTACGTTGCCTCTACCTGCCATGATTGCGGCATGTGGCCTTCATAGCCTGCCGCAGCCGACTTTCTATCGCCGCCTTGCCGGAAAAACCACGACACTTGTCTCCACTAGACTATGTTCGCATTGCCTTCCCTCTTACTCCTCCGATGGCTCCGACCTCTGGCTAGTATTTAGCATAGCTCTAGTGTCCACACCCTCCTTACTGTGTAGTCTCAAAGGCGCCGTTTTTCAGCGAGTCAACGAAACCTCACCACCGTAAACCTACTGACCAGCTCCATGCTGACCGTGACTTCGTTGGTGACCGCAGGACTGTGGTCCACGAGGCTTGGTCAAAAAATTCCCACGGCTGCTGACGGCTAGCTACTTACGCACGCCCACAAAGTGCATGCTCACACACTCTCTAATCAAGCTATGCCTACGTCTGCCGCACCCGACTTCCAAGAGTCAGTTGCGGCTGGCCGACCTATATGCCATCTTCTCAAGTATCATCTTGATCGCACCTTCTGCGAGGTGCACGAAGCACGCACAATTACCTTGGTAAGGGTAATGGTGCCGACAGTTTTCCGGACCCTATTAAGCGACGTCCCCGTCGGGCCGGTCAGATCAAAGGTTATAAAAAGTTCAAATCACATCTTGCTGACAAGGAAGTTGACCAATCCTGTTAGCCGGCTTGACTCTGTTTGACGTATTCTATCAGTCCATCCCCGTCACGGTGTTCCACTGCCAGGGTTTCAACCTGGGTCTCCCACGTCCTGGCCTCGGACTCTGGGGATACTGTGTTCCGTACTACAGCGTAATGCCCGCTCTCAGGCAGTAGCTTGATAGTCCTCTCCCTTTGCCTTAGACATATGCCGACTCACAGTTGGGTGTCCTATTTAGTCATCGTCCTGCAAGCAGGGTCATAACTTAGGACGCGGGCCCTAACCGAGACCTCTCTCAAATACGGGGCACCTTCAGTCCCCAAATTGGTAAGTACTACTAGTTCAAATATCCACTCATAAGGAATGCCCAACCTGGAATCTAACACAGGCAGCTTCTAAGTCTCCATCTTGGTCCACCGCAGAACGGTTGATCAAACCGAGTCCACGACCTACCCCGTTGTTGTATTAGCGGTAGTGCCCTCGTTGGTTGCGCAACGATAAGCAAATCTCTCTTACCTTGGCACCCCGAAGGGTCCCGACTGTTGACCTCATCGACCCCAATGACCTTCCCTCTAGTTAAACCTTTCCAGGCGGCCGACCTATTAGGACTTAACCTTTGGTGAGCCATGGTCCCGCTGCCAGGTTGCGCCAGCCAGCGGCCCTCGCTGGGAGTTAGGTTTTACAGTTCCAGCGATGCTAAGTATAGCCCCTTAGCCTGACCTCACATAATATGTCCCTTAGACTGACTGCTTGTGGTCGGACCTTCTCTTTTTCACACAAAATGTACAAAGGATCACATACCAACTGCCCACGGAACGACGAGGAGGGATAGTGCCTTTCTCACAAATCCACAAATAATTCCACAAGGTCGTGCCTTCCTTGGTTTGATCAGGGCAGGCAAGGTCACACGTCTTATAGGGACACCTTTCCAAAAATTTCGCCATAATTGCCAGAATTCCATTCATAATTCTCACAAAATTTCTGGTCTTTCCTTGTCCGACTTTTGCTTGCACACAAGATTTTTCATTATCATCATCATAGCATTTCATCAGAGAGCTCTCTCATAATTCCAATTATGTACAGGAAGAACTCTACCGGGCATTGAGTTCCTTTCACATTTTGAATCACACATAATGACACAACTCTCAGTTGTGACCTTCCATTCAACAACACTGTTTCATTTGGACTCTCGGTTTCCTCACATGTGATGTGTGTTCTCCTTCAACTGTACTTAGTACCTCACCTGTAACAATGACAGGTAGTCCTAAGTTCAGAGAAAGGAGAGTGCAGATCAAACCATCATAACAACATCTCACAAAAGTCACGCATACATGGGCAAGTCCACAATTGATGTGAGCGTAGTATACCACACAAATCTCTATTAAGTTTGAGTCTTATATATACACAAGGAATATGGGGTTTGCAAAATAGGCAAGACCCCTGTCACACTCAAAGAAGAATCAAAGTATAATACAAAGAAGTCAAAGATGTTCTGAACAGGTCAAAGTCCCGAATGTCCAAGTATCGACACACTCTGCACACCACTCACACTGCTCACACAAGTCTCACACATCCTACTCTGAAAGAGAAAGAAAGAAAATGTAACTCACACAAACACGTAATGTACATAGTCTCAAAGAAAGAACAAAAATGATAGTCGAACTCACACTCAAGGTTATCTAATGTATAATCTGTCCTGAAGGTCTATAGTATTGACGGTAACATCTCAATAATGGCCCTCACTACTGATATACATGGGTGTGATCCAATCCTCCATGTGTTCTCCTATATACAATCACCTACCAGTAGAGAGTCAGAGATGTTTTACTCATGCCAAGGTTTAGACCTTTCCGAACCCTAATGTCAAATCCTAGTCAATCATCACCTCACCTATCTGTCTGTACAACTGCATCCTACCACCATCTTGAGACTTCTCAACCAAATTACCATTTCTATCCCTCCAAATCCTAGTGGATACTCTGGTAACAAACCCTCTCGCCTCATCCTCATAGAACTTGGGGCAATCATCAGAGAAGTGTTTGCCCTTCTTGCAGTAGAAACACTTCYCAGGCTTCTTCTGTGCCGTCTTCTCTTCTTCCTGCGAGAGTACTGAGGATGAAACTGCCGTAACTTCGCTCGTAACCTCCTGCTGGGGAGTCTCAGATGGAGTGGGGCAGGCTGCTCTCTCCTCTGTCTGTCTCACTGGTCCACTCGCTCGAACTGCTGAACCAGACCCTGTGGCCCATGAGCCCAACGCCTCCTCCAAGCCTACTGCCAAGGGCATATCCTGAGGCGTGGTAGACTCCTGACAAGTYTCCTGGCCTACTCTCTGCTCAGCCTCAACCTCGCTCCCCTGGACCATTTGCCCCTCAGCAACCATCTGATTGACAGGCAGTGCSCCCTCATCTCTCTCCATCTCTGCMTGCTGTGTYACATCCTGTCCCTYGCGAGCCTGCAGGAGTGCCAAGGTGGAAGGCATCTGCCATTCAGACTCCTCACTCTTGGCTTTCTCTTCCACGTGCACCTCCTGAGGCTGTAACATCTCTTTGTCTAACAATGGCACATCTTTTCTTTCCTGTAGATCAGCCTTTTCTTCCTCCTTCTGACTTTTGAAGGCTTCCTCTGCAGGTAGCTTCTTCATTTCAAATCCTTCGACCTCAGTCCAATCCACCAAAGTTGTGGGAGCCCTCTGCTCGCGCTTCGCTTCCAGCTCCTAAATTCTTTTCTTCCACTTTACCTCTTTTGCCTCGAAGGAAGCCTGTTGAGCCTGCAGGTAGGCCCTCAGAGCCTCGTTGACCTTGTCGAGGGTCTGGTTCACCTGCCTGATTGCCTCATTGCCAGCCCAAACCTTTTACAGCTCCACCTTCATTGCATCCAACTCGCGATCCTGTCTCTCCTGGTTCTCTTTCAGATCCCTAGTCTCCTGCTCCCATTCCACCCTCTGACCATAGGCCTTCTGAGCCACCTTGGTCAACCTCTCTCCAATCTTCTAATCTGATGCTTGTGCGGCTGCAAATCCTTCCTTCATTACTCCCTTCAACGTGAGCAAGTCTGCGAAGACCAACTTCACCCCCATCTCTTGCTGAGGTCCCTCTGGTCCTCTCGCAGCTCCCATCAACCTATCAAAGTTCTCCCACGCTTCAGAGAGTAGAGGAGGGTCTTCTTCCTGCTGGCTGCTTACATTCTTTCCCTTTCTGTCTTTCAAGTCCACTGGCCGCTCTCCCTGCTCCACTTTCCTGTGGAGTTCCTCCAGGTTCTTCCTCCTGACTTCTGCTCTGATCTCCTGTTCCCTGGCGGCCCTTTCTTGTYTGTCAAATTCCTTCTGTCTKGCAGCCTGGTCCTCATCCACCCTCTGTCCTGTCAGCTCACAGGGTGCCTCTGGTCCTGTTTCTGCCATAGCCTGATCCTCTGGTCTCTGAATAGACTGAGGAGGAGCCTCAGGCACCTCTGACTCCCTCCTCTCCTGAYTCCTCTTAGCCGGCAGYTCCTCTYTTCTCTCCATCTTGTGGGAAGCATGTTCCCTTYTTCTCTCACCCTSCTGAGATCTGGACGAGGCACCTCTCTCAAAAGTCCTCCTGCCTTCAGCCTCAGGCTCCTTCCTTTTCTTTTCCATACTCTTTCTCTCCTCTGCCTGGCGTGCTRGARTGTAATAGCTCCTCAGTAGTCGTCTGCAGTCTCCCCAATGCAACGCTCTCTCCACAACACTCCTGACGAACATCCTGATATACCTCTTCACAAACTGGAGGAATCCTCTCACTCTGGTCTCAGGTACAATGTTCTGCTCGTCCGCAAACCGGTCATAAGCCCACAAGAACTCGTCCAAGCTCGTYCCATCAAATCGGATCGGTACTCCATCTCTCCCCWTGGGCGATGGGTGCAGTCCCTCCATTCTCCTCTCGAACTCCGTCCAGGTCGCTGACTCCCGCACGTACTTGGCAATGGGCTCAGCCCATTCGCCCTCTCCACGTACCTCTCGCAACATCCTCGCTCCATCCCATCCAAACTCGCTCGTGTGCCGTTGGAACTCGATCAGAAATAGTTCGACGTTCCCTCCTGTGAAGATGGGTGGCCTGTCTTCTCTTCTGACCCATGTCTGCACTCTTTGTCTGGCTGTCCCCTGAGGGGGTTCCACTGGCCCTGCCCCTCCTTTCCTCTTGGCATGGCTGCGCCAAAGTGGTGTCAGACCTGCACAACAAGGAAGAGACAAGCAAAAACACACAAAGAGTAAGCAGGTTTTGGCAACACAGTGAGAGACATACACATCCCATCCCACCTAACCTATCCATCTGCATATGCATACATACACATAAACACCTATTCCAATTCTATAGTCTGTCAGACCATCCTAGCGACTATCTGTACAACCTAACTAATATCTCTATTAAGCGAAAAATACTTAGCAGGAAAGGACTTCTAGCCTGTGAGATTTGGGCTCAAATCATCTCGAGCAACAAACTTCTTCTATCTCGAGCCTGACACCCAATCTCTCCAGGCTGTTCCGTCTATCTCCTCAATCTGGTACGCGCCATGCTCTCCAACTCTTGCCACCTTGTACGGTCCCAACCACCGCTTATCCAACTTCCGTGACCATTGTTTCTTTAGGGATGAGTCGTACAACAGCACCGTGTCTCCCACCTTGAGTGGCTCCTTCCTCACTCTTGCCATCTTGTCCCACCTGAACTTATCCTGTGCCCGGTTATATGCCACCTTACTCGCCGCTCCTTCAATCCTATCCTCTATGGCTCCAATCTGACGCGCCCTTAAATCGAGCAGTTCCTCGAACGTCAACTCTGACTCGAGGTCCTGCCGCCTCCATGTCTTCAGGAAGCTCTCGATAGGGAACGTTGCATGCCTGCCATACCATAGCGTGGCTGACGCATAACCGGTGCTCCTCCTCACTGTGATGTTGTCTACAAAAAAGGTCACTCTCAAAAAATCTGGCCACTGATTTGGCCTCCCACTGGTCCATTTTGCCAGAAGGTTCGAGATGGTGTTGTGTCCTCTCTCCACCGGTGTATTTGCTTGAGGGTGTGCTGCAGTAGTATACTCAACAATCACCCCGTACCTCTTCAAGAGTGCTTTTACCTCTGCACTGGTGAATGCAGACCCCCTGTCCATGACAAATCTGGAGACAAAGGGGTGTCGAAGGTAATATTCCTCGATACATCGTGCTAGCGTCTCGCCAGTCTTGGTACGAATAGCCCTTCCGTCCACAAACCCGGAGAGGTTATCGCGTGCATCAAAGATGAAGTTAAATCCCCCTATCCCCAACGACATTACTAGCAGGTCCATATGTACGACGGCTCCAACCTCACGAACGTATCTTGGGTGAAGCGGCTCCCTTGGCCTAAGGGAAGATAGCTCCTGACGTGGGACGCAAGATTTGCAATAATCATTGATCATTTTCCCCATGCCATCCCAATAGTACAATTCGTGTATCTTGAGATACGTTGTATCAGTACTCCTGTGCCCTCCAGCTGTGCCGTCGTGCAGGGCGACCATGACATCGATCTGACGAGCGATGCCACAGACTACTCTCTTGGGATTCCTCCCCTTGCTCTTCATGAATAGGTGCCCATCCCTTACCAGAAAGCTCGGTCTCATCTTCAAGACTTTCTCGCTGGCATCTCTTTCTCTTCTTTCGCACGAAAGAAGCATTCCGAGTTCAAGATAAACCCCATCATACTCTTCTGCTCGAAAAACCTCCTTAATCTCGCCTTCTTCGAAATCATCGTCCTTCTTCTCATATATCACATTCTCCCCCCTTTCCTGATCCTGCCCAATGTTTCTGGCCACTTCCTCCTGCAACAAGGCATTGGCCAGGAGGTAAACCCCTCCTACAGATCTTTCATGATCCTCCACCTGCCGGGCTCCATCCTCCATCGTGATCAGGTCCTCACCCAACTGGTGTTTGTTTGCCAAGGCCAGATCCATCATCCACTGCACATTCGGCATCCCCCATAAGTCCTCCTCCACATAGGGTTTAAGGACTAAGTTTGGCAAGCATGCATACCCTAGAGGTGTCAGCCACACCGGCCGTCCAGGAGTAATGTAGTTACCTACCGCCAAAGACCAAGAGTTGATGTGAAGTCTCAAATCCTTCTCATTCTCCAAAAACCCGTCGACTGGGGGAGTATCCTCGATCACTCCTTCGCTGTTCTTGCCCCAGTCGACTCGACTCAACCTATCCGCCCTATTTTTGTTCCATGGAATCCGCTTCAGCTCAAAATCAAACATCCAGATGTACGTCAACCATCTGGCAATGGTTGGATCTGAGGGAGTGTAGTTCTTTAGCGAACCAGCTAGAGCGGTTGGGTTCACCCTCAACACGAACCTGTTGCCAAAGAGATAGTTTCCGAAAATTCTCAAGCAGTGGAGGACTGTCAAGGTTTCGCGCTTGAACTGAGAGTAGTTTCTCTCAGCCGTATTAAGCGTTCGACTCTCGAATCTTAGCGGTCGCTCCTTTCCATTGAGGTCTTTCTGGATCAAAACTCCTCCCAAAGCGGTCGGTCCTGCATCTGTCTCTATGATAAAGGGCCTGGTCATAACAGCCGCATAGTCTGGTACTCCCAATACCAGTCCTCCTTCTTCAAACTCCTTCTTCAGATCCTTTATCACAGACTCCTGTCTATCTTCCCACTCCCAATCTTGTCCTTGGCGCACGAGCTTTCGCAAGTGCTCCGTCTTCGTCGCAAACCCTTTTATAAATATTCTCCAAAATCCACACGTTCCGAGGAAGCTTCTCACCTCAGTAATTGTCTCGAATGGGGTTTGACCATTCGAGAATCTTATTGGTCTTCTTAGTATCTGGCCGACGACCCTTCTCGTCGCACACAAATCCTAAGATAGTCGCTCCTCGCATACAGTGTTTGGATTTCGGCCCACTTGCAGTGAGGTTATGCTCTTGTAGCAAGTCCAGGACTTGASWCAAGTCYTGCACATGATCCCAAWYAAACCGCYTGATTCCCGRCATTACCTCCTGCTCATCCTTTACCTTCGACCCTTTCACGGCCAAATCATCGATATAGGGCTGCGTGATGTGAGGGCTTACTGGCTGCATCGCTCTCAYCATATGCCTCTGGACCATAGCAACCGCRTTTSTCCACCCCTGCRGTGCGACATTCATGTGGATYARCCCTCGTGGGGTATGCATCGYCRTCATCGGCCTGTCAGATRRGTAGACAGGAAACTGGTCATAACCAGAATACAAGTCTATCAGAGATATTATAGCCCTCCCARCGCATGCCTCTGAAAGCGCATCTGCGTTAGGGAGGCCACCTGCATCTCTAACAGTCACAGCATTCAGGCGCTGTAAATCCTGTACCCACCTCAACGTCCCATTTGATTTGATAAAATAAAACCATCGGGATGCATATGGTCCGCCCGAGTAGTCTGCCACGTGTGTGCGGACCTTCCCATCTAGGTAGTCAAATACCTTCTCTTCTTCAGCAGGATTAAGATAGCGTGCGCCCCACAAATTTCACGGCTCATGCGACACAGTRTGTATCCTAATCATGAGAATTTTATCCACGTCCAGGCGTCCTCTCTCATCATTATTGAAGGCATATGCAGTATGCCTTCCTCTTATGGTTTCCACCATAAGTTTCTCTTCTTGCACTGTAAGGAAGCCAGACTCCCCTATAATCAACGCATTCTCAGTCTCCGGATTGATACGACATGRCATGTTCGCAACATCCTCTYGCATTTGCCGTATCAATTCTCTCTCCCRCTCGTAKTACACCTCTTTTTCTTCAGCTACGAGCACCGGAACAGGGCGACACTTTTGATCTACCCTTTTGTACCGCCTTTGTGAACCCTGCTTGAGCCCACCTCTAAAAAAGGTCGAGTTGCAATTTGTGGTAGGGCTCCCACCATTCCGCCGRTCCCTCCTGGTACCCGGTATACCAGTTTCATCTCTCCATCTCCCATTTGTTCCACCACTTTCTCCCTCAAGGCCTCCACGGCCACGGGGTCTGCCATCCCATAGGTCGACACTATGTCCATAGYGKCACCTATGCTCRCCAAGCTAAGGGTCATTGCTTCTGGCCGTCTTTCTTCTTCACTGTCGACTCCCCTTAGCCTTTTTCTCTCTATTTCTGACTCCTCAATTGTGAAAGAGTCAGGGCAGGGTCGATTCCTAATACTCCTTGGTCCTATGTTCTGGCACGTGACAACCTCATAGTTGCCACACACGGGATCACACATGACCAGGAACATAGTCCCGTCATGCTTATTCAGGATGACGGTCTCTGCTCTGCTAAAAAATGATCGCCCCAGAGGAATAGGGTGATCGAGGTCGGGCATTACGAAGAAGCAACTCCTCACTTTTACCTTTCCGATCTCCAGCACCACCTTGGATGCGGTCCCCACAAAAATGGACCGACTATTTGCTCCTACCAAAATACCATTGTCGGAGCGGTCTATCTCCATCCCCAGGCGCAGGGCATCCTCCTCCTTGATGAGGTTCATTTCTGCGCCTGTGTCCACCATTGCCGTGCATGCTTTCCCCTTTACAACAACATCAAAACACCCGCACGCCACGGACTTCCAGTCCATTTTCGTACCGGTCTCCGACCACTCAGCTTCCTTAGGGATTATGACCCCTAACCGTACGCTAGCCACTATCTTCCTGCACAAACGTGCCTTGAGCTCTTCTTGCAGTCTCGGCGCTGATGCCAGGACATCTTTCAAGTTCATGAGGTGGTTATGTCCTTCAAGGATTCGATCCATAATCTCTTCCACGTCGAATCCTTCCTCCACCCTAACTGTGTACTTCTTCTTTTTCTGCTCTGGGGCTTTTTCCGTATCGGCCTTAACGCCCCTCTTCTTGGCTCTTTGCTCCGCCTTTTCATCCTCCTCGTTCCTTAGGCGGTCATCCTCCTCCTCCTCATTCATGGGAGGTTCTACAACTTCCTTGTCCCGGCTCGACCCGGGAATATCCTTAGTCGGCGGTTCCAGACTGGCTGGCCCTCGAGCTCTCGTCCTGACCGCCTGAGCGGCCCTCCCAGATCGTGAAGGCGGCCTAAAACTCATCCCTGATCTGGGAGTCCCCCCTGTGACCGATACATTTGGAATGCTCGCAGGTGCCCCCTGCAATTTTGGGCCTGACCCATACATGAAAACTTGTGGCCTCTGCCCTTGCCACTCCTTAACTTCTTCGCATAAATCTACCAGCTTGCCCTGGTACCTTCGAATTTTATCCATTAAGTCTTCCATATTCTCCATCGTCTGTCGGACCGTTTTCCAATAGTCTTCCCCTGTCTCAACGTGCAACGGCCTGTTCCAATAATCCTCTTCAATCTCATCGTCCGACTCTACTATGATGGGCTCAGCCTTAGTAGTGCCGGTTTTTCGCTTTTGCTCCACCTCTTCGTTCTCTCCCACATCTTCAACCCTGATGTCACTACGGACCCCTTTCTCCTGCCATATCCGAAACACGGCTGGAGGAGCGGGTGGTTCACCTGCCTCGGCTCGTCGTAGGGCCTCCTTCCTTGTCCCGCTTGGGGTCCTTGGATGAAGGTGGTACCCCCACTTGTCGTACATATCCCCATCAGAATTGGTGCTGATTAGGCCTTTGTCTTCATCGTTTCTCCGGACATGGCAGAACTTGATAGTGTGACCTTTCTGCCCGCAGTGCCAACAAATGGCGTTCCTCCAATCTATTCTTCCCCTGCCAGCACCTCTTCCACCTTCCTGACCACCTTGACTCCCGGATGTTGTCCAACCCTCGCTTCCCCCGCCTGCAGCATTACCACCACCATTCCCTCTGTCGTTTCCTCCCCGACCACCATTCCCTCGTCCTCGGCCCCACCCTTGATTTTGTCCTCGTCCATGGGCCACGGGGCGTATGAACAGTGTCCATGCCAATGACTCGGAGGCCCACAACCTGGCCACGACCCATAGGGTGCTGATGCAGCTTGATGGGACGACTCGGGGGCATTGCCACAGCCTGCGGGACCTGACCCCTCCCCGAGCCTTGGCCCTCTTGAGCCAAGTTCCTTGCTTTCCTCTAAGCCTTAGTCAGCTTCTGAGGCTCGGTCTCCTCTTCTTCTTCCTCTTTTTCCTCTTCCTGCACTACTGCCTTTTTCGCTTTCCCTACGATCTGTGGCGCTGCCATGGTTTTCCTTTTTGCCTCCTTCTCTACGTCGAGCTGGGCCATCACGTCCTCTATCATTTTCTTGAAATCAAGTCCATCACTCGTGGTGGCATCCAAAGCCTTCCTCTTCTTCCTAGCCTGCCTCATGTGGAAGATATCTACCTGGTCCAGTTCTCCGTCCATACGCCTTCCTTTATGGCAGCCCAAGTGAGCTTCTTTCCTGGCGCAACCTTCTTAGTTAGCGACGAACCCTCCCAGTTCTTGAAGTGTCCCAGGAAAGTGGCACACTGCTCCTCTTCTGCCAACCCTAGGACTTTCTTTGCTATTTTCTCAAACGTCGTGGCGAAGGGCCCCACTGTGGAGAACTTGTCCCGTCTCAACATTTCCATGTCTTCTTTGGTGAGCAGGCCATCACCTAACTTGAAACGTCTCTGCATTTCCTCTTTAAACTTTGCCCACTCACCATTTGCCCTGGCCGCTACCTTCATTACCTCAGGTCTAAGCTCCCACCATACATACCTAGGCATCTGCTTGAATTTGTCTGCTTCTGACGCCTCACTAGTGACCTGCTCCAGCAACTCAAGCCACTCAGACACTTTATCCCCGTTGAAGTGAAACTTGTTAACCTTGGGCACCTGAAGCCGTGCCATCTCTCTTTTTTCCAATGCCTTGACGAAGTTCTTTGGTGTAGCACCCGGGCCCCGCTCGATTCCGTCGGCGTCCGCCATCTTTATGTTTTCTCAAACACCGGTTGAGGGACGAACGGTTTTAACAAAACAATCGGCCGTCAAGTCTCTAACTTGCCTACTTTCACCATTCAACTACTATCTTTATTAACTAAAGTAACCTATCAGGTCTATATTATTACTCTGACCCAATCGCTGAAACGGATACACACAATGCACACTTCCAACCTTACTCACAATCAAGGCAGACAAATCTGACGTGTCATTGAGAAAGCCACCAGACTCGAATCATCGTCAAGGAGAAAAATATTTCCATCAAAGGTTGTCGTTTTGCCTGGATCATCAGCCTTCTTTTAACCTGGGTTCGTTCACTGTGGACCCCGGTAGGCAGCCGAGATCCCCAGCAACGGCGCCACCTGTCGAGCGCATTGGTCCCGCACGGGGACCCTCCCGGCCGCGTCACGCAGGATTATGCAGGACTTATTGCGGAGAGCGTTTGCCGCTCCGACCGAGTGCGCCAGCCGTACCTCTCGCGAGTCCCTACGACAGGACAGAGTCACGCGAGGCACCGCTACCTCCACCTGTGGGAGTTGTCACCTTCCCTTAGGTGGGCGTATCCCTGCCGAGCTACTGAACCACATGCGAAAGCTTTTCGTATGCAATTGCAGAGGTGGCCCAGCCRARGGCGTTTCTYRCTCGCTGTAGCATAGGGGGTACGCGCGGTCGAACGCCCTAAAATTGAACCCGTACGTGAATCGCCGTATTGGGGGGCTGAAGTCCCAAACGCCACTAGACGTCGGTCGACTAGGACGCACTACACACCCACGCGTTACACCACAACACTCGCACTTACTCACCCATAACACCTGGAGCCCCACGCGAAACAAACACCACAAACAATGCCACAACACAACAACTCCTAGTCCCTTCAGTATCTGACCCATAACTATATACGGCAAGACTCAGATAGGTACCGCGCGCTGAACTTCCGTATAAGAGGCGCACGAGTGCATGGCCCCCTCATATCGATCATGCGGGCACATGCAAGCATTTGCGATGATGGGGTACTATGTGGAACTCGTGGCCTCGCGGCCCTTGGTATTATCGAGGGTCACGTTCGACACTCAAGTGTCGGCTAGCAGACGCTTTGAGGGGTAATCTCTCGACGCCAGACAATCGTCATGTGCGGTTGAAGACCACTCCCTCTTCTGCACCCTGTGCAGAGGGGTGAAGTAGACAACTTTAGGGCTGTCGTGGTAGCCGAAATCAAGGGGTTTGACTTTGACGACTACCACGGACTACAACGTTCAACCATGAAAGTTCAAAAGAGAAACCTATTCCAACTCGCACTGGTCTAGTGGCCTCCTAAAATGGAAGGGGTAGGCAGGCCCAGACGACGCGCGCGCGGAGGAGGCCCAAAGTCCTACCCGTAGGCTATCCAATGTCCGGGGTAGTGAGACCCGTACACGGGCTCCCATAGGTCGACTGGGACTGGTCCTTCGCCCATGTGTTGCTTCTTGTTACCACAAACTCGAGTCTATTGACCGTAGGCAGGCCCAAACTTTTAGTACGAGGAATCGGCGAGTGTTGCGCGCAAGGACTTAGGATAAGATCGTGCGGACGCAGTACCCACACATACCAACTCACCATGCAGCTCTACGTGAGTATCTGCGATGACGGCGCATTACGTGGTGTCCATACCCAAGTGGCCTATTCTGAGCCATGGGGTTATTTCCGACGCTCAGGCGTTGGMTGAAACGCGCGCTAGGGGGAGGTAATCCTCTAGCGGGCGCAAACCCGGCCTGAGGGCCTTTCCGTCTTCTGCACCCTGAGGTGTCCCAAGGGGTGCAGAGCAAGACGGCCCCTAGGGCAGGAAGGAATTTGGAGCGGTGGTGAGTTGTCTGGCGCATCACCACCGACACGCTAGTCCTTGCGCCCGAAACTTTTATCGTTCCATAAACTAAAGTTAGACAAACATACAGAAAAGATCGGCATGTGGTCACACAACCGAGTGAGGGCTGTGCGAGCGAGAGCCCAACCACAATATATTAATAAGGGGAAATATCCTTAGTCAAGCAAAGAGTTATGTGATAGTACACTCTCACAATAGCTACGTGGCTTGCCCACCTGAACTCGAAACAACCAAAACATCATACTTGATTAACATGCTCCACACATACCTGTGACCACACACAAGGATCAAACAACAGCACATACACTAAAGGGGTCAATTTTTCAGCCTTCTGCAGCTCACATCCTGCCTTGTACATAAGCCCAGCCTTTTTCCCACCATTCCACAACAAAGATACTCAACCTTTAAGAAATGACCATTTATAAAGAATCTGGGTGAAAAACCCAACAAAACAAAGAACCAGCCAGGGCCAAGGCCTTAGGTTGAGAAACAAAAAAGGATGAAAGGTTGAGCCGTATACCGACGAATCGGCAACCGATCTCTTATCAGTGATAACAGAAGAATAGTCAGGCTAACCAAGTCAGACCTTCAATCAATACGCACGGCCTGCACGACAACACAGGTCAAAGAGATTCCACTACAGCGTTTAGCCTAAGTAGGGAGTAATCCTCGTAAGTCACATCCTAACTCCTCTACTAAGCTCCTACTCAGCTTCTGAGAGGTTCAGTAACACCTCCCCTACTCCGGGTTGAGTTGCTAAGATTGGTCTAACTGAAAATATTCCAACTCTCCAAATTTCCCAAAATTTCTGAAGCGCTTCCCGCAGGAAAAATATTTTTTCAGAATTTCTAGGAACTTGAATATGATTAACTCTTTTCAGTTTTACAGAAATTTCGGCAACGCTTCCCATAGGAAAAGTAGGCTGCCAAGATTTATACAAAGCTGAAAGTCAAAGTGCAAAGCAAAACTATACTTGGGGCTAACTCATGATCTCTGTTTGACAACTTAGGCTCAATATTGGTCCACATGCCCTCTGAATGAGGCCATGAGCCAACGCTGATCCCAACCCCCAGCAGAGGCCGTCCTATCTCATCCCAAGCTTCTCTCCCATCATTCATCTTATCTACCTATGGCTCCAGCACTCGGCAAGCATCTACAACGACTACTCTATCAAAAGATGTCCCAAGTGAGAGCCCACGAGAATGCAAGCGCAAACATCTCTCACAATCCCACATGGTTCTTTTCCAGGCCTCATAGTTCGTTCAAAAACCCTCATTATTTCCTTTTTTCCCTTCCTTACATAAGACATAGGGTCAGCCAACCCAACTGATGGATGTGACTGACCTGCCAGTTTATATGACTAGGCCACACCAACTTATGGTGCCCTAGCCTGGTAACACAAATATACGTACGCATAAAGACCAAACCACACCAACTTATGGTGTGACCAGTTTCTGCAAAACAACCGACACAAGGCCTATGATCGGGCCGCACTAACTTATGGTGAGGCTGGTCAGCCTGAACATTCGGCATACACATAGAACTGAACCTCCTAACTTATGGGGGTCAGCCTCTGCCTAACTAACGACAAAAGACATATGACTGGACACAACAACATATGTTGTACCCGGCCAGCCCAAACAGTTACATACGGCGTAGAGCCAGACTACCCAACTTATGAATAGTCCAAACTAGCCTAGACAAAGCCACTTGCGAGAACGACCGAACAACCCGCAACTTATGCGTTCGCCCTGCCCTTCGCAATACAACCATGTTCAACTTTATGGATATAAGGCCTAAAACTTACCACAACAACTTATGTTGTGATAAGCCTCTGTCTGAACAAATGACATAAGGCATATAACCAGGGCGCACCAACTCATGGTGAGTCCTGATCAACCTAAACACTCGGCATACACAAAAGACAGAACCACCTCAACTTATGAGGGACTCAGCTTTTGCCTGAACAACGACAAAAGGCATACGACCAGACACAACAACGTATGTTGTGCCTGGCTAGCCCATACAGTGACATATAGCATATGACTAGGCTACCCAACTTATGGATAGTCTAGCCCTGCCTAATGACTTAACCAGACCAACTTATGGTGTGAATAGTCTCGCCTGAAACAGTAAAGCATAAGACTGAGTCATACCAACTTATGGTGTGATCAACTTATGCCTAAACAAGTGACGTAAGGCGTATGACCTGGTCCCACCAACTTATGGTGAGACTGGTCAACCTAAACTTTCGGCATACACAAAGAACTGGACCACCTCAACTTATGAGGAACCCAACCTTTGCCTTAATAAACGCCGAAAGGCATATGACCAGACACAACAACTTATGTTGTGCCTGGTCAGCCCATACAGTCACATACAGCATAGAACTAGGCTACCCAATTTATGGGTAACCTAGCCTGCCAAATAACAAATAAAACCAGTGCGAAAGACTGAACAACCCGCAATTCATGCGTTCGCCCAGTCTCCGCCACATAATCACAACTATTGTGTTGTCTGAGTTCACTCCAATAATCTGATTTACATCAATACATAGTTGTTAATTTACTCTGCAAAAGAATGTCCTGAATTCAAACAAGTGAAGAAAAACTATTATCTTTTCCAGTCATACTTCCAGTCAGGCTAATAGCAATACGATAATATAGTTTATTGATAGGATCACACACATAAATCGAGGGTTATACCTGAGTGTTCCCTGCCTCCAGAACCCTGCCTGGGCTCCGGCAGAGCTCCCGCAATCGGTGGGGCAACCTCCCACAGAGGCCTTGGCGCGGACCTACGGGTTGCAATCCCGCCTGCCGCCTTCCTCTCGTAACCTCGGACCAGACTGAGAATAAGAAGGGTAGAGGTAGATAGATTAGACTCTCAAGATACAAGAGTGGGACAACTCAATTCACAATGAGAGGGTCTTGAAGTCCGGAATCTCCTGAGGGCCCCGCAATGGCAGCCAATGAAACGCAGTGCGAACGCAACAGTCAGATCATCGCCGATGTGCAGAGTAACAACCCCCTAAAGAATCTCAAAACTGCAGCAGTAACCTTCCGCAGTCTCCCTCGGCCAGCCCTGTCACTTGTATGTAGCACGGAACAACTTCCAGCCCAGTGACGGTGCCCAGCAAGTGAGTGAGTACTTTGTACGGCAGTAACTCTTAGCTGCGAACCGTGCCCTGCGCTCTGCAGTATGCTGCGAGGAGCACC